AGTAGCTTTTCTGTTAGCAGGTTTGAAAACAAGTGTTCCTTGTCCTTCTCATGATCTTATTGTTCATTAATCAAGTGAAGTTTCAGCACAAACATATGATATCTTGATTGGAAGTGGAACTGACAAGACTGGTTCAATTCAGTTTGTTAGTTTGTTTAGGTTAGAATAGCAAGTAGCATAAATCTTGTTCATCGTTAAGTAGCATCAAGTACATCTGATTTCATCTTGCCAAATATTTGGCTGTCCTCGGAGAGATGAAGCCTAAAGTCAGTTCGTATCTCCATTATCTTTCACGAGTGGGTCAGTTCGTATCTCCATTATCTTTCACGATCTATTTTGAGTGGGATAGAAATTGGTTTTTAAAGTGTTTTTCACTTAAAAATATATCAAAATAATATTTTTTTTATTTTTAAAACAATTTAAAAACACAAAATTAATTTAAAGTTCAAAAAAGAAAATCAAATTTTCTTCAAATACTACCTTTCACCTATCAGCCTAGTACTCCTTTTCCTACAAGCATTGGGTTTAGATTGTGAAGCTAAAAGAGGGTCGAGTTGTCGCAATGTTGGCTGAGACCTGCAGGCTGAAAATGTTGGTTCTGGTTTTGCCATGGAGTCTCTGCTTACATTTGAATATCGTGGAGGTAGGAGATGAGACAAGACTCAAGGCAGTATGATGTTCTAGTGTTTGGTACGTAGTCTTGACTGTACAAAGAATGATAGGTGACTGAAATGGTGTAGGCCGTAAGAGTTTTCTGGCTAGAGTAGAGACTGACTGGCTCGCCAGAGTACCGGAGGGCAACTTGATGTCTGACTCAGGGCTGAAATCAAATTGATAAGATCGGAATTCATTATCAATCTCCTTGACTTGGCCCATGCTTTTTAACTTATGAAGGAAAATGACTATGACTAAAACATAACCATGGCAGGCATCATTTTTCACTGAAAATTAACACAGCAAAATATTTTACATACGAAACATACCCAATTGCTTTTACAAGGCATTACATGCAGCAGCACGACATTGATTGAAAATTATACGAGAGTTGCATGATGATAAGATTGAGAGGGGAAACCACTACAAAAATTGACAGCGAAAAAAAATATTCATATGATTTTTTTTTTTGAAAACTTTTATATATTTGTTTAATATATAATTATTAAAGAGCAGACATTACTGTAAAGGGCTTCAATCTTATTTAAAAGTAATTATTTATCTAAATAGATTTTTATATTAAGATATATTTAAAATAAATAAAAATCTTAAGACAATTAAGCTCGGGCTTGCACTTCTAGTCTTAAAAATAAAAGCTAGGCAAGTCTAGGTGCTAGAGTTCAGATTTTTTTAAAAGATATTGAATGTTGGGTTTTTCACCCTAACAAATGATGTGTCATTTATTGTAATAGATTTTTAATAATAAAAAAAATTAAGGTGTAAGTTTTGAAAAACTAAAAGCTATAATTTTGAAATTTAATCTGATTTAATAAATTGATGTAAGATTCAATTAATCCAGGACTGGAGTTAGGTTGAATTGATAGAGAATTAACGGAGTTAAGTTGAATTGAAGAAAAAATAGAAAAAAAAAATTTGGTGTAACCCAATGATTCAATTGACCCAGTAAAACACAGTCAAAAATCTGATTGTGACCTCTTCTTTTTTTAATAAATTGATGTAAGATTCAATTAATCTACGACTGGAGTTAGGTTGAATTGATGGAGAATTAATGGAGTTAGGTTGAATTGAAGAAAAAATAGAAGAAAAAAAATATGGTGTAACCCAATGATTCAGTTGACCCGGTAAAACACAGTCAAAAACCTGATTGTGACATGTTGACTTTTATTTTTTACTAAAATAATGATATTTTAATTCAAAAAAATTGATTCAAATAATTTGATAACTTGATCAAAACCAAAAATCCTGACTTTAAATCGAGCCGGTCTAAAAACTATGCTAAAACTCAAGCTTTATATTTTCATCTAAATTAAAATCCTAGAAAACTATAAAACTCTCATTTCAATCACTAATGGAAACAAAATTTTTGGACCCTGATGTACTTTTTTTCCGCATCATTAATGGTGGAAATCATATTCATTGAGTTGTTTTTATTAATACAAATCCACCGAGACACTAATATCGGAGCTTTCCCTCTTCTTTTCATTTTGACAACTTTCTTTCTTCTCCTTCAACTATCAAGGATCAAAGTGTATTGGAGAGTTATTAGATAAAAAAAAACAAATGAAGTTCTATGAATAAAAAGTAGATTTTGAAAACAATAAGGATCGAAGTGTATAAAAACATGCTTCTTGAACAATACAAATGAAAAAAAGAAAAAGAAAAAGAAAAACCTTGTTATTTTCTTTGTTAATCTCGATCCATGCTCTTCCCTTGTTTTTTTTTTTAACTTAATTCATATATACATTTGTCATGCAAGAACATGCATAATGATACAAAACCCGACACATAAAACTACACAACATAACTTGCAAGGATGGCCTAAACACAAAGAACAAAAAACTTTAGAAACCTAAAAGAAAAAAAGAAAAGAAAAAAGAAGAAGGTAGTGTATAGGGAAGTTAATAGTATACGATGGCCTAAACACAAAGAACAAAAAACTTCAGAAACCTAAAAGAAAAAAAGAGAAGAAAAAAGAAAGTAGTGGATAGGGAAGTTAATAGGATATCTTCTTGAGTGGGTTGAGAGTAATAAACAAAGACTACTATTATAATACTTGTTTGAGTATTTCTCTCATGGATTACAGTTTAATTGTTTTTGCAGGAGCGACTTCGTCATGCCTGATCAACAAGAACATATGTACTGCCGTTATTTTCAACTTTCATCATTATATCCGAATTGCAAATGCTGTGGATAGAACATTACTGCAAATTGTAGTTGAACTAGACATTTATATTATCCCACTTAATTTGTCACTGGATTGGCTGTTACAATCATATCGTTTTTCCAGGGTGTTAAAGGGCAACTTATGCCTGATGATCCTCACACCGAAGTTTCAGAAGAAAGGGATTCCGATGCGAGCCTGGTATCTCATCAAGTTGACGAGATGGATGTAAAAGGAATTGATGGGGACGATGTAGCAATAGCATTGAAATTAAGTTGAGGAAATACAGCATCTCAAAGACCAGCTATTTCAAGTTGAGAAGGAAATGATCAGCGGCCTTAAGAACCAGGTAGCTTCACAAGATTATTTGGTAGCACAAATCCTGATCCAACAGCTATCTCTAGGCGAGAACGAAATGAATATACTTAAGCACCAGATGGATTTTGGGATGATGGATTGCCAAGTTGAAACAATTTTGTTGATTTGAAAAACCCAGAAGAATATTTCAGCAAAGAATTGAAAAACCCAGATGTGAAAGAATATATTTTATCCAAGCGATGGTTAACTGCAGAACCTAGTCAGTAGTCACTACGATGCAGAAGACACAACAGTGCAAGAAGACGAATTTAGCAACAGTGCATGAACTTTTACCTACTATATGTGCTAACAGAGTTGTCAGTCACAGATGGCTTTCCGTGGATTAACTTTTCACCTTCAAAAGCCCATTTGTGCAATAATTTAAGCTCACATCCCCCCCAAATCAACCACCCTTGTTGTTTCACATCCACGTTCACGGAGTTTGAGCAAGCAAGAAGAGCTGCAGAGAATGCAACATAGAGAGAGTGCGGCAGATGAACTAAGGCTAGAACCAAGTGGAAGTTTAGAAGCGAGAACTACAATGGCAGGTTCAAATTCCAGATGGGCCAACATTAAAAAAGGCATGACAACATACCCTGCTAGGATAGATGTGAAAAGCCACAAAAAAACAAAAACCTATCACTGGAGAAGAGAGAGAAGTTTTTGCCTTTGGAATTGAAAAATCCAGATGGGTCTCCATCTCATACTTAAAAAATTGTCGATACCATGAAAAATCGTTGTTTGTTTAGGAGCGCTGGCTTAACCATTTGCAGCCAGAGATGGGTTTCGCTGACTATTGTCCTACCAGTTCCATATTGTGAAATTATGCCCGCTTCCTAATCTGATTTTGGTTTATACTAAATACAGTGAGTGTTTACCCTGTCAATTACTGAAGTCAATTAACAATCATAACCAATATTTTTAAAACCTGATTTAACTTTTTCTAAAGAAAATAATGCTAATTTAATTTATTTTTAAATAGTTTTTTATATTAATATGAATATTCAAATTAATTTATACATACCTCAATTAATTTTATAAGTTCTAAAATTAATAATTTAATAATCATTATATTAATTATAGTACTCAAACCTGATACTGTGGAAAAACAAATCCCTAATTTTATATAAATCTTGAAACTATTAATCTGGTTAATCTATTCAACTTAGTAATCCAAACCTTGTCATCCAGGTGAGGTTCAATAACTCCGGGAGGGGAGCAGGCAACGTGGGATGTGAAGGGGTCGAACTACTGTGCAAGGGAGCCTTCTAAAATTCAATACCAAATTCCATACGGAAAGAGTAAAAATACGAACAGTATGATTTTAGAAACTTTGAATTATTGACTTGCGAAGGACTTGGTTACATATCTCAGTGCCCGTGCCCGGTGACAAATACCGGGTATCTCAGTGCCCGTGCCCGGTGACAAATAGCCGGGTTTTTTTTTTTTTTCTTTTAATAAGGATTAAGAGCAAGCGAACAGTATTTTTTTCAAAATATTTTTTATTTAAAAATATACTAAAATAATATATTTTTAGTTTTTTAAAATTTATTTATAACATCACCACATTAAAACAATAAAAAATTATATCTAATATCAACACATAAAAAAAACTGGAAAAGCAACAATCGGAAGTGCAAAATCAATATATGAGAAGAGATTGGATGATCAGTTGATTAATTACCATGCAAAATGATTAAGTAGTGAATCCATCATCTTACCCAGTGGAAGAAAATGTCATTGTTTTGAATCCTCGTGTAGATCATTAAAAGAAAACAACGATCAAGTGATTCTCTTGACACGGTCACTGCATTTGCCTGGTCCATTCGATTTCTTGACATGTATAGTTGAGTACACGCTTTTACGGAAATTTATTCAGATACGTAAACAGTTATCATTGTTCGTCTGCAATCGCTGAAAACAGTATATATAGGAGGAGCGTTCGAGTGTTCTCTCACCGATATTATCAACAAAAAAAAAAAAGTGGTTCTCTCATGCACCCAGCCGGCTTGGAAAACACAAACCCTAGCTAGATATATAGGTGAATATTGCTTTTAATATCCACGAGTTTGCTTGCTTCTTATAGAGAACAGTTTTGATCATATATAGAGAACAGTACTTTCAATCTCTTATAGAATCCAATGAAGATTATTCAGTGGATTAAAAAGATGTTCCGGAAGTTGCTGGATAAAAAGGTTAGTGTGCAATGAATTACTTTACTTTTGATGCATGGTTCCTTACTTTGTTTTCTATCCAAGAGTTCCATACGTTTTTCATTATAGCATGGTTAGAACTTTTGGGTTGATCCAAGACTGGCGGATTGATCCGTTTATATTCTAAGCTAGAGCTATATATCCAAGAAAAATCAAATCAGAATTGATTCCGCTTAACCCTGCCAATCCAACAAGTCAACCTGCAATCTAAATTTTTAAATATATATATATATATCCAAAATAATATTATTTTTATTAATGTAAATTAACTTGGATTAATCTAACCAGCAAGTAACACTAGACCTGACCGGGAGAGATTCATTTGGTTTTCCAAAATTATCTACATAACTGGTGAGTAGAGCCCAAAAGAAGGTGCTTTCCAAAAGCTTCAATTTGAAGATCTTACACAGTTTGAATGAAGAGAGGGTTGGATGTATTATCAAAGACTATAGTGTTATCAAAATTCAACTTGAAACTATTGTGAACTGTAGCCAACACAGAGGACCAATCCAACTATGGCTTTTGTTATCATTCAAGCCATTGCATGTTGTTGAATTGTTTCTTACATTTATATATTGTTTTTCCAGGTTGTTGAACGGCAAACTAGGCCTGATGATTTTTTGAGAGAGGATCAAGAAGCTTTACTAGAAAGAAATCCCCATGGAGACCTACCATGCCAATGTTGTCTGAAGGAAATGAATGGCCTTAAGGAACAAGCAGCTCACAAAGACAAGGAAATACAGTACTATAAGAAAGCCCTTAGTTATAAAGATCAGGAAATTCGATGGCTTAAGAATATGAATATGCCACAGAATCCACAGGGCAGACCATGTTATCCAGAAGAAGACATACTTGGAGCACATCCATCTCATGGAGAAAACCGTACTCCATCGGGATTAAATTAGTTTTGTAGCCTAATGGACCTCCAATGGAACATACATAGCAGCTCATGTATGTGGAGGTACTTGTGCTCATCTATATACTTGTAAACAAGTATATGTTAGGTCATTATCAGTTATAGTAAAATGTAATTAAAGACAAATGTAATTAGATTTAACATGCTGATTATTGCCATTAAATGATAATTTCGTAGTGACTCATATAAGCTTCAACATTTGAGCGAGAAGAGTATGTGGGGTGTTATGTTTCCTTTAATTTTCATTATCACATCCTGTTTTTTTCATTTTCATTTGGGATAGTTACATTTGCTTAGAAGAAAAATAAAGAGCACCGGTTTAATTAAAAAAATTCCGGTAACCCGGGCCTAGAGTCGAAGATAAATTGGATATTTCTACAATCTAGTAAGCAGAATAGCATTGGGGCAGTTGGAGTAATTATGGGATGGAGACAAATAAATAGAATGACAAATTGATTTAGAGGCATGAGACAGTCTTTAAAGTGTTTAATTTTCTTACACTAAAACGGCGTCTTTGTAATACAATTAAGTCTATAAACTCTTTAAAAAACTAGGTAGAGGAAACGGTGATAACGACTCTGGTTTATATGTTCAACTATCGCTTGTTGGCTGGTAAAGGAAATGGGTAGAGATGGGAAAAAGACCGAGCCAATATCTTCCGAGTATCTACCAGGCATAAAAAACACGCGCGCGCACTCACTTGTATATATTCTTCATCATCTACAAATAATAGAAATAACAATAAGAAAAGAGAAAGTAGCCAGTTTCCATGGAGGTTATTTACACTAACAATAAGAAAAAGAAACTAGACAGAATTAAGTGCATTAGATGCCAGATCAACAATTTCAAAATTGCGAACGTACTCATCAAATTTTATAACAAACACTAAATAGTTCGGAGATAACTCATACTTCGGACATTCAAGCGAAGTATCTATCACTCAGAGTAGCCAGTTTCCATGGAGGTTATTTACACTAACAATAAGAAAAAGAAACTAGACAGAATTAAGTGCATTAGATGATATTACCCCTCTGGGAAAACTTGGGAGGAGCTCCACCTTTCAGGGGCAGGATATTGGCAACCTGCAAAAAGAGAGAGAAAATGAAGCTCGAGGTAAAGATAATTGGAAGTCAGTCTGAAAGAACCAAGCTTTTAATCAGCTTGAATCCCTGATATTACCCACTACACAGTGGAGAGGAACAAGAATAACAAACTGCAGCAACTAGCGGTGACTGTAACTTTATGAGCTGTGGGCGGTAATGTTGATTTCATGCAATGATGATAGCACAATTCATCTTTATGAGCTGTGGGCGGTAATGTTGACTATACAGCTTTATTTTGTATTACATGTGAATTTTATCAATCACGTGCAAGTTTTACATGTGAAGATCTTCAAATGGTTTGAATCAACTTTAATCATTAAAAAGGCCAACAGAGGAAGATAGTTCACAAATTGGAAATGCAACCATTTTCTATACAGGTATAAGTTCATTTATTAATAGTTGTGCTAACAAAATCAAAAAGATTTTTGACAAGAGCAAACCTTTAGCTCACTGTAGGTGCTAGTGGCTGAAAACTGAACAGTAATGGGGAAGAATGCCGATGAGTCTCCTGATGGCACAACAAACTCCATTGATCCACTGTCCACAAAGATTATGGCACGTTATAAGAAACCCTAGAACCAGGTGTATTTTTCAAATATCAAGCACAGGGTCTGAAGTGATAAAGAATCATCCTAACATTTGCTTACCTGCGGTTTGAGTTATCAATGAGAAGAATGGACCATTCTAGGATGGAATTTCTTGCGTCATACCTGCCGGATTGAAAATAATGAATAATATTGAATGGCCACTTTGACTGATATGATGTATACCGTGAAAAGTAGGATAAGAAGAGGATGGCACACATTGGTTATCAGTAGATATCAAATAGCATGCATCAACAACATCAAAAGAATCTTCCAGAAAAATCACGTGATTTCAAAGAATTCCTAGGGGCATGCAGAATCCTAGCACAAAACACTTACAGCTAAGGTGAAAATATCGTATGATTCCTCCCCCTAAGGGCTTCTCACATCTACCCCCCATGTGCCTGAATGGCAATCCTTCTGGCTTTTAATTTAATTCGTGTTGAAATATAATTTTAAGGAACTTCAACAGACATTTCCAAATCAAATTTCTAGATTAACAATTTCATGCATTTCATCTCACTTTAGTAAAAGCCAAATGTTCAGAAAGGAAAGAATAACATCAGAATCAGATAAGATTTCTATTTCCCCCAACATATGGATCTCCACCAAACTAACTTCAACCTGATACACCAATGAAAGATAATGGAGCAAAATTCTTACTTCCATTCCCCATCAATCTGCCTAACATTTGGTGCCTCTCGGAGGGCTGGTAGAGGAACTGCGATCACAACATTTCGTAGATCAAACATTGATGACGCTTCATACTCGATGCTGACATATGTTTCATTTCCAGACTCAGATGGCCAGCAATTGACTGCAATATGCATGAATTAAACATAACATTAGAGCAAACAGCAGAAAGTGTAGTGTGATCAGATAAACTGCCGCTTCAGATTTGTACCCACTTGTCAAGGGCACCATTGACTCATCAACACTTTGCATTCTCCACTTCAAAAGACCAACACCTGCATCCCCAGTTTGACAAACGGGGAAAGGTCTGCTGGGATCCCTCAAGCCCAAAATGTTTTCATTAGCAAATAATTCTTTGTTCACGTTAGGATGTGTCTTGAAAATGACACCTGGGTTCCCCCCAGTTTCAATCTGCAAAACAAAGCAGAAATAATAATGTCAATAAGAACTTGCATAGAAGCTACCACAATAACTTCAAAACCAAAGCCATGTAATGCTACTCAATGCTTGATGCTCTTGCCAAATCAAAATCTAGTTGTTTGTAAATGTTAAGCAGCCACTATTAGACATAGAAACAAACTATTTAAAAGCAATTTATTCATCAGAGGGGACAGTGTGATTTACTATAAATGATCCAACCCTTCAGTAACATCCCACCATGGCCGCAGATGATATAGATCAAATTAGGAAGCCAAACCTAGTTCGATTAAGTTTAAGCATTTCAAATGTTTAGGTAAATTCAAGTTAGGTAAAAAAGAAATAAATTGATGTGGCTGATGTGGAAAGATGAGCATTCAGCTAAGACACAATAGCAAAACTAGGAAAATGGTACAAACCCTTTTGCTCACAAATATGAGATGACAGCAAAGAAATTTCCCAGTGCAAACTTAATAGTGCTCATAGTTTAAAGTCGTGGATGGGAGTCACCTCTCACTTGATGAGACAAAATATTTCTTTTCATAATCATGTAATGGTTTTTCTTTTCAATTTTTTTGTTACCTAAATCATGTGTGTGGGCACACAGACAGAGATTGCAAGAGAGAAAGAGATAGATGACAGACCTGAACTTGGATAAGCCCGTCTTCTTGGTTAAGAATTTGAAGTGATAAATGCCCTTGAACATCAAAGTGACTCATTCCACCATCCCGTTTTAGAGTGACATTGAGTTTCTCCTCAGCAGTCAAAGTGACAGGATCAGTTAGTTTTTGAACAGCTGATGTATACTGGGTTGACTTTGATGGTTGCACATCTTCAACGATCATTTCACCTTCTGCTTTCAAGGATTCCAAAAACTGGTTTGTCCTTTGGGTTTTGCCGAGCTTCATGCCAAGGCCTTTGGGAGGAGCAGTGGCAGATGAAGGTTGACGACCTAGTGATGCCAGACATATTCAATCAAAAGTAAACTCCCCAATAATTGGAACCATATTTTCCAGAGACAATTAAAATAATAATGTTCAAAAATAGGCTGCAGCAAACATAATTAATTAGATGAGGATTTATAACCTTGTTGTTAAAAAATTTCAAACGGTCAAGAAGTTCAAGTGTAAAACATTTTTTCCTAGAAACTTTTAGGAGTTATTACAAATCATACTTACATCTACCAGACAAATCTAATCTGCTAGTTATCAAAATCAGAAGCAACGTCTATAGTTGGCCCAGAAAAGCAGAAACAAACCTTTAGGCTTGCTGGAAAATGAGTCAACATCACTGGTCAATCCAAACCCAGAACCACTTCCAAAACCACCTCCTCCTCCACTGGAAATGCTCATATCATTAAAGCCGCTCTCAATTCTTCCAGAGCCCATTGAAGACATAAAACCTCCTTTATTACCTCTATTCTTTTCAATCTACAAGAGGAAAAAAAAGAGAGAGAAAGAGAGATATTAATAGTGCTGTATACAGGACATAAATCTGCAGGTATTATTTGTGGTGCTATAATAAATAGATACCTTCATTTGGTCAATCTTACTAGCTTCTTCCTTCATTCTACGCTTGGTCTCATCAATCTTATTCTGCAATAGCAGCTTGTGCAATTTCTCTTCATGACTCTCCATCTCACAGTACTGCTTAACCTGGGCAACAGTAACATTTTCCTTGTGCCCAAGAGAGATAACCTCATCAAACGCAAAGATCAGCTCAAAAGCTGTCTGACAAATACCCTCTTCATCAAGAGACATGGTATACTCAGGTACCTAGAAGCAAACTTAAGGAATCAACTTAAAGCCTTTATATGTACATTAATGAAATGAATATCATAGAAATAAAATCATGTTTCAAAGCTTTTAAAATCTAGTATGAATAGTACAAGGAGCCATCAAGCACAAAAACGATAAAGAAACATACCAAACATGAGCATAAACACGTGAAAAAAAGGGGGTAGCCAGGAGCCAACTCAACTCCTTAGCATCCAGTGTAGAGTATAAAACATTTTAATATCCCGTTTTAGGAACATGAAGCTGCCAAAAAAAATAGGCAAATGAAAGAAAGATACCAGTTTAGAGAGCAGCCTCAGAGTGTCCAAATCTTCAAGAATGTTGCTCTGTTTATTCGTAACAAGCAGCAAGTACATAGCCTCTATTGGCTGGTAAACATAACGCACATTCTCAGTCTCAACATAAGTATGCTGCTTTCCAGACCCTACCAACTTGGGAAAAGCAGCAAGGAGACCTTCAATTCTTATCCGAGACATGTCCACAAACTGCCTCGAAACAAGCACTGCAAGTGAACCAACCCAAAAAATATCAAGCAGAGCAACACACAACACAAAAAAGCCTCACTACAACAACACAGTTACTAATATTAATCCCAAATCAAATCAATGGTTAACTAGCTCAACAAATGAAAGAACCTCCAGTACTAACATTGCACCATACACCTGCTCAAATCTCAACATTTATGGGAACCACAGTAAATGCCTCCTGATAGACACAGGACCCACGATGCTCAAATCTGAGCAAAACATATATCTATAATGGTAATTCTCAAGATTTGCACACCTAGTTTATAACCATTAATAAAAATCATTAATAAGGGGTGCGCGATGCTTGACAGATTTACGTGCAATTAAAACAATGAATGTTAATTCAGATTACAATAAAACACACTAAACATTATTAACTTATTGCATTCGAAATTTACGGGAAAAAAAAATTAACAGCAAAAATATTAAACGCAAGAAACTACTCACCTTTACCATTCTTGCTCACTATAGAAGCCGCAAGCACAACCTACATTGAATCAAAACTAGATTTTACCACCGAAATAAATTATTTTAATTCAATAAAAACAAGCAAAAGAGGAGGAAAAAAATCTTACCATCCTGATATAACTGGCACAGAAATTAACACCTACAGAACAGAACCAAAAGAAATTAAATAACAAATTTATCTAATCAAAATATAAATTGCACGGATCTACGAAGAGGCAAATTCAGATCTAACTAAACAGCGAGATCACGAAAGAGGCATGTTTGGTTTCTGACAAAACAAAGGAAAATTACGAATTCATTCAACGATTTAAAATATCAGATCTGGCGGGCAAGCACAAGTAGGATAGTAATAACAAAATCATGAGATCGCGGATTGAAATTCGATGGATTGGCTGAAATTTTATTTTGAGTGAGAGAGATCCGA